GTTTACATACGTCCGACATATAGATACAGGCCCTAAGAGTATATATAAATAAATATATATATACATATATATATATATGTATATATATAGATGTGTGTGCTTGTGCATTTGATGCCAGACAGAAAAGGAAATCGCCAACACTGAATCTAAAAATTGTTTAATTTGCCACTGCAGCTGACGCACGTGTGTGTGTGTGTGCGTGTGTGTGTTATTTTATATCCTGTGCGCCATGCGGCGTATGCGTAATATGTCTATGTAGTTTTATTTCACCGTCTGGATTATATTGATTTGCCCAGAACTGAAACAACTATTCGCCCGTTAACGTGTGCCAAATGCAATCAAAGCATTTTATATCTATGCCGCCCGCATATCTAAAACTGCGCATTTCTTTCTAAATCACCAAATAAACCATCTTTATATCAAGAATTAAAGAAAACTAAGCTCAAACAGCATTGCCAGAGGCTGACTGTTGGGTACAAAAGCTTTTCAGTCTGAAAGCTTTAAAGCTCACAGCCGTTTGCCTCTGCTCGCAAGTCCGTAAAGGTTGCAACAGCGGAAAAGTCAGCTGAGCTTTTTTAATTGACAATTCCTCTTTCTGCGTCATTCGCAAAGGTTTTGCTAGCAGCTACAATAGGTTTGCCTCTAATTAGCTGGGATGATTTATGAGAAATCCCAAAAGAACATTATTCGCCAACGTTTTACTGGCATCAAGATCAGTTATCGTTACTTATACGCCTTCATCCCTTTATACACCTTTATCTTAGCAGTTTTATTGACAGTTCCTCTTTTTGCGCCATTCGCCAACGTTATACTTGCAGCTGAGTCTGTTATCGTCATTTATGGCCTTTCTCTCCTTATTCGCCCTTATCCCTTCATACACCTTTATTCCGAAAAGATCTAAATCGACATGACAATGTGTCTTAGCCTTTTGACAATTTCTCCTTTAGCGCCATTCGCAAACGTTTTACTGGCAGCAAAGTTAGTTATCGTTCTCACTTGTCTCAGAGAACATCTAAATCGAAATTGGCATATTAATTGTTATTCCTCTTTCCTGTTATTCCTCATTCGCCAACGTTTTACTGGCCGCCTCTTATGAGCTGTAATATTAATGAGTATCCATGCCGCATTCGTCAACATTTCGCTGGCAATTCGAATGGCCCAATAATCAGTTATGTATGTATATTCATAGCCAAGTTGATTAATGTGACTGATTAAATTCGAGCTCGAGCTAAGCATTAAATACGTGTACTCATTAGGCTCATAAGCACTCATAAGCACAGCTTGAATTGCGTGTCAGGAGCATAAGCCTATGCCCAACTCCTGCCCTATGCACATATCATTGTCTACCTAAATCACCTTGCCGGGCAGGTTAAAGCATTTAGCTGAAGACAAAGTTGCGGCTCTCTCAGTTCAACAGCAGTTGCTCATTAGCTGCACAAATGCACGAGGCAGGAAAACTTTCAAAATGCAGCAATGCATTTATGCGAATATTCAATGAAGTTTTGTTTTTTTTTCTTCTATTTTTTGCCAGCTCAAAAAAAGGCTATTAATAACAATAAGAAATCAAGCTAGAGCGTCGCGCATGCGAAAAACACGCACCAAAAAAACATTCGGGCCCAAGGGAGAGCCCAGCTGGTGAGCTGAAGACGACTCCAGACCAGATAAAACCGTCTCAATTCCAGTTCCACAATCAATCCCAGAGACACCGAGACTTCGACTCTGACTCCGACTCCGACTCCGACTCCAACTGCGACTTCGACTCCGACTGCGACTGCGACTGCGACTGCGACTGCGAGTTGTGACTGCGTGCGTGGGTGTTTATAAATATTTATAATTGCAATGCGATTTTTCAATAAACTTTGCAACAAAATTGCACGCGGCATTTGGTGTGAAAAGTTTTTTACTGACTTTGCGCAACGAATGGGAATGCAAAATACACAATCATTAGCTAAAGCAACAACTCGAGAAATGGCGAATCAGCGAAAGATCCGAAACTATACCGGGACTCTATGCGCGGCCGGGAAGATGAGGAAATGGAAATGCTTGGCAATGGAACAGTCTGCTTAGAGCCAGTCGACTGACAGACACAGCCGGGAATGCTTGGCAATGGAACACTATTCTTTAGCTAAAAATTATGTGCGTTTCATGGGAAAACAAAGCTTAAGGCAGCTAAGCTTAACAAATACAAATAGATGGGAACGCTTGGCAATGGAACACTATTTTTTAGCTAAAAATTATGTGCGTTTCATGGGATTTTAAAGTTAATACAGCTCTGCTTTGCATAGTCACAATCGGAAAACGTAGCGCTTACCAACACTAGTTATCAAAGGCAGATAGCTTGAAACGTTTGGGAATAGAACACTATTTCGCAGGTTTCATGGGATTTCAATGCTTGCAGTGAGTAAAAAAAAAAAAGATTGCTGGGAACGCTTGGCAATGGAACACAGTTTCTTAGCGGGAAATTATATTGGGAATTATGATGGGATTTTAATGCCAATGACATCACAGCTTGTAAAACACAGATAACTGGGAACGCTTGGCAATGGAACACTGTTTCTAAGCCGAAAATTATAAATGTTTTTATGTGCTTTCAAAGTCAAAGACAGCTTTGCTATTTATTCTTTTACCACCGAAACGCTTGGAAATGAAACAAATGAACTATTTTTATCAATTGAAGTATTTAACTAATGTTTCCCGAGCCTGCGCTTAAATAATTATGCTATAAATTACATTTAAAACAAACTTTGGATGTGGATTAAGAGATAAGAGGTATATAAACCTTTTTATAAGCTGCTCGCTTTCATTAGCTTTCATTTAAGTGGAGCAATTAAAATTGTTTCTGGCTGCAGGCGCCGGAATTGTATTTTATTATAATATCATTAACATTTACTTTATTCTTTATTCTTTTCAGCTTATTCTTGCCCTTTTCGCTGGCTCGTCAGAATGTCGCCGGAAGGCGAATTAGTCAGTCGGTCGGTCCGAAAGTAGTTCCTAATTCTGAGCAAGCATTTGGTTAGCTATTTAGCTTCTGTCTTTCTTTCTTTCTGTCTTTTTTTTGCACTTGACGGCACTTTTTTGTTTGTGGCCCACAAATGTGGTTTTTTTTTTCTCCACCTTTTCCAGCTACACATTTGATAACATTCAGCAAATTTTCAGCGCACATCCGCTTCTTGTTAAATGCTATCAATACCTCGATACAAATGGGAAGTGAAATGGTGAAAAGAAAAAACCAAGCAGAAATTATTGCAATAGTTCCAGAAAATTCGCTTACGCTTACGCTTAACTTTTATTTTATTTTATACCAATTTGTGACTTTGGAAGCTTTCATATCATATCATATCATATCATATCATATCATATCATATCACATCCTATCAATCATATCCTAGCATAGCATATTATGTCATTTTACATCATGTCATATTATATCCAATCAATCATGTCTTAAACTATCAATCATATCATATCCTATCAATCATATCATAAGCTATCAATCACATCATATCCTTCTATATCATATCATATCATATTCTATCAATCATTTCCTATCAATCATATCCTAGCATAGCATATTATATAATATCATATCATATCATATCATATTATATTATATCATATTCAATCAATCATATCATATTCTATCAATTATATTCTGTCAATCATATCTTAGCATAGCATATTATATCATTTCACATCATGTCATATTATATCCAATCAATCATGTCTTAACCTATCAATCATATCATATTCAATCAATCATATCATAAGCTATCAATTATATTCTATCAATCACATCATATCCTTCTATATCATATCATATCATATTCTATCAACCATTTCCTATCAATCATATCCTAGCATAGCATATTATATAATATCATATCATATCATATCATATCATATCATATTATATTATATTATATCATATCATATCATATTCCATCATTCATTTCCTATCAATCATATCCAAGCATAGCAAATGATATCAGATCATATCATACCATATCACACCAAATCCTACCATATCATATCATATCATACCACATATATCACATCCATCACATATATCACATATGTATATAAATACCCATCAAATGTTCGACTAATAATTAACTATATTGAATACAAAGCCCAGAAAAGCTTTTTATGCATCTACTAATTTTCTTTCATATTCGATTAGCACATTTTTTAACTACATTTTTTATACATCTATGTACAATTTAATCTATATATAATACAAACTAAATTCATTAAAGAAATAAATAAAGAGATAAAAAGAAAGAAAATAAAAATTCTGAAGATTTTTGCAGTTGATACAAAAATAAAAGCCAGAAATGTTGACTCTATCTTACAGAATGCCTAGACATATAATATATATATAACATATATGTATATATAGACATATATATTTAACAACATCAAGATATATATCTATCCATATATCAATATATATATAGTGCATTATAGTTTATTCTAATCTGAGTAGTATTTTGTTAATCAACAAGTTCAAAACTCTTTGTTGTTAGCTTACAGATGCCTAGATATATATTGATGTAAAATCGAATAGTATTCAGTTAGTCGCCCCATAGAAACTTTGCATACGCAGTATATATCTGTACAGATGATATCTATGTTCTAATATATATAACAGTTAGTTCTCATCGATTGACTGATATTTTGTTAAGCAAGAAGTAGGCAGGATCCTGTTAAGAGCCTGCGTGGCTAAAGTGTTCGAGCGTCGAACCAACCAGCTAGAAGTAGCTGGTTCAATGCATAAATGTGTGATTGACACTTGAAAGTTTTATAGAAGAAGCATTTTCAATGCGGTTGCGAATTGGAACTAACAAAAGTTTACCTGCTTAAAATTCGAGTATTTCGCATATTTTCTACATTTTCCGAGGCCTAAAAATTATCACTTGAACTTAAATTACCAATTTTTTGCATTTTACAAATATGTTTTGCAAAAGTTATTCAAATTTTAATAAATAGTTTTTACTTACCATAAACGCCAAACACCGCAGTTTAATACTTTGTTGTTGTTGTTGTTGTTGTCGATATTCTTGTTGTCTGCTTTTTTTGCATTTGTTTTTATTTTTTCTCTCTTTTTTTTTTTAATGCTTGTTTTTTGGTTTTTTCAAATTAGTTCGAAAGTGAATTTGTTTGCTTGCGGAACCAAAACCAAATTTTTGTTCATATTTTTTCTTTTGCTTTTGTTGTTTTCTTTCTCTTTTTTTTTTTTGTTTTTTAATATTTTTAGATGTTCTCAAAAAGTTCAATTTTTTTTGCTTTTTATTTTTTTGGTTTTAACGGCCCAACATTTTTTGCTTTGACTTTTGTTTGGGATTTTCCGTTGTTTGGTTTTTTGTTGAACAAAAAATTGAAAATTGAGAAATTTTGCAACTTTTGCGACCTAACAAATTTCGTTTTATAGCATTTTGCGGTCAGTTAGGGGCGGCAGGCGTGGCAAATGAGGAACAAATGCAGCTTGCGAAAATGGTTCAAAAAAACAACCAAAAAAAAAAAGGAAAAACAGGACGAAGAAGAAGAATAGCGTTAAATGGCTGCAAATTCAAATCCAAACTAGACATGAAAATTGTCGCAAGTTGGGCACGAAATGTTGTTGTTCGCTTTGTTGTTGTTGTTGTTGTTGTTCTGGTTGTTGTTCTGGTTGTAGTTTGACTTTTCACACACACACACGCCGGCTGCTGCGTTGAATTGCATTCGCTTGTTGTTGCAGTTGTTGCAGTTGTTGTTGTTGCAGTTGTTGTTGTTGATGTTGCAGTTGTTGTTCTGGTTGTTGTTCTGGTTGTTGCATTGCAGAGTTGTTTGTTTTGTTTGTCGCTTTATAATTTTTCTTACTCTTTTGTTATTATATTTTGCAGATTATTTTCATACTGTGTAAATTTTTGTTGTTGTTTAAAAACGCTTGTGTTTGTTATGAATTTTGTTATAAAACATTTTTGTTGCTGTTGCTCTTGCTGTTGTTGTTGCTGTTGTTGTTGTTGTTGTTGTTGTTGTTGTTATTGTGTTTTGAGTTTATGCCTGCAAAAAGAGAGATTTTTGTAAAATTTGTTTCGGGCCTTTAGCAAATTTGCCGACGCTAAAAACACACACGACACAAACAAAAAAAAACCAACACAGACAAAAAAAAAACGTGCAACAATAAATGTTGCAAGCTGCGCTTAAGGACGCACGCACGCACACAAGCAAATTGCGCGCGCAACAAGAACAAGCAACAGACGCAACACACAACAAACAAATGCATAAATATGCAACATTTATGTTTAAATTAATTCATAATTTCTTTTAATTTCAGTTGTTGTTGTTGTTGTTGTTGCTGTTGCTTTCATGTCGTTTGTTGTTGTTGTTGCTGTTGCTGTTGCTGTTGTAGTGTTGTGCATGCGGCCGCGCTGCAAGTGAAACGAACGTACGAACGTATGAAGGTGTCTGCAAGAACTGCAATCGCATCGCGTGTAAAATCTCTGCGAAAGTCCAAAGCGCAAAGAACGTGCAAAACGTAACGAAGGCGACGACAGCAGCAGCAGCAGCAGCAGCAGCAGCAGGCAGCAGGCAGCAGGCAGCGACGTCGACGACGACGTCAGTGTTGCGAGCGAGGCGAATGCGAGTGCGCTTCGGTCGCAGCACGACGACGACGACGACGTCGCCTTGCAAGCGCTTTGCGTGCGTGTGTCTATGTGTGTGAGTGTGTGTGTGTGAGTGTGCGAGCCTTAAGAGCGCCGCACGCGCTTTGTCAAGAGCAAAAACGCAGCAGCAGCAGCAGCAGCTGCAGCTTGCAGCGCGCTCTCTCACGCTGCCCAACTCTTGCGCTCACACTCTCTGGCGCGCTCTTTCACTCAATTGCGCTGCGAGTGAGCGTCGCACGCAAATCAGCTGCAACTAACTAACTCAAATGGACACCAAGGCAGGCGGCGGCAGCACGTTGTCGCTGCGGTCAGCGCGGCGTATGCGTAATATGTGTAATCTTTGCAGGGGGGGTGGGGGGTAATAAACGAAAGCGAGGGGGGTGGGGGCAAATGCGACCTGTGCTCAGCTGTGAAAAACAGTGCCAAACTGGAGCGCAGTCCGACAACATAGCTCAACATTTTGTTGCGGAAATTCGACAACTCAATTTGGACATTTACAGTTATGATCGTAACCAAATTATGTGCCAAGGAGACTTCTTTCATGTGTTGGAAAACGGACTAAAAGAAGTTGTTTAACAGCAAAAAGAATGTTTAACAGATTCTGTTAACAGTTTTTTTAATCTAACTGAAAGCCAATTTTTTGCGTCGCATTAACAGACCAAACAAAAAAAAAGCCTAAAACTCAGATGAAATAAGTTCCACAAAGCTCTACAACTTGCACACTTCCTAAATTTACGAATTAACTTAAATATATATAATATTATATATATTTAAATTAAATACATATATATGTGTATATAATATATTTTTGTTTCACTTATTTTTTTAGATTTTCGTTTTAACTGAAAATTTAAAAAAAAATATATATAATATATATATATTTTTTTTAAGATTTCCCTATACTTAAATTTTTATATATGCATATGTATATTTTTTCAAGATATTTGTTTTAATATAATTTATAGTCATTTTAAGATTTTCCATTTAACGAAATATTTAAAAGCATATATATAAATATATATATTTTTTTTATTTTTTTTTTGTTTCAAGGAATATTTGAAAATCTTTTTAGTTTTTAAAAGTTTTTCGTTTGACTTAAGATTTTCCTTTCAATTTCATAACTTTTTTAGGTCTGGGATTCAATTTATTGAAGTAAAAAGTGAAAACAATTTTGTTTCAATACATTTCTTGTCTGATATATTTTTTTTAAGATTTTTGTTTTAACTGAATATTTGAGCGTATATTTATCATTTTGAAAATTTTCATTTTAATTAAATGTTAAAAAAACCCTTTTAACTAAATATCTCTTTTTAAACTTTATGTTTTAATTAAATGTTTAAACAAATTCTTTTTTTTCCAAGATTTTCGTCTCAATTAAAATGTTAAAGAATATATATTTTTATAAATGTTTTGCTATAGCTGAATGTTTTCATAAATTTTGTTTATATAATTCAAATGTCTTTTTATTTATTTAATATTCTTTTTTTGCTTCAACTGAAATTAAGTCTCGCGCGTTGTTTTTACTTCGAGTTGTTCTCAAAAAGTGCGAAGTTCTCTTTGACAAATTCTTGTTTTAATATGTGAAACTCCGCATTTTCAATTTCATTTTCTGTTTCAATTGGTTTTTCTTTTTTGCCTGGGAACTTATTTCACTTGTTTATGCAATCGGAAATCGAAAGTTTCGACTTGATCTTAGCTTCAGCCAAGATTCTGCAGATCAAACTTTGTGCTCATATCCTTCAGAGCATGGATATATGTATACATATATACGTATATATATATATGATTATATAGCTCGGGATCTGCACAGTAATTTTTTCTTTAACACAAGACAAAAAGCTAAATAAAAGTTTTCCAAAAGGCCGACGGCAAGGCGTCCTCTCACTCTCTCTCTCTCTCTCTCACTCTCACTCACTCACACGCACTTGTTCCCTCTCTCTCTCTTTCTCTCTCGATCTCTCTCTTTCGCTCACTTGGATCTGATCGCTTCCTGTTGGATCTGATCTCTGCGCACACAAGAATTCACAATTCCAAAAAATTGCAACAAAAAAAAAAAGTTAAAAAACTTGGCAAACTCTTTTCAAAATGTTTTCACTGATTTTTCTTGATAATTTGTATCTTATTTCTTTTTGATTTGACAAACAACAAACTAGATTTTGCTGCTTAAAATAATAAAATTTTTCAATTTTATTTCGATATTTTCTTTTCTTTTCAAATATTTTCACTACGCACCAGGAAAAAAATTTGGTTTTAAACACAGCAAAAAAAAACGAACAAAAATTAAAAAATGCAGTTTTTTTTTAGTTTTTTTCTGCAAAATTTTGCATTTTTGCAGATTCGCGCGCGACGCGTTTGGATTTTCTTTATTTTGTGCAGAATTTTCGTGAGTTTTTCCTATTTTATTTTTTTCTTTTTTTTTTACTTTTTTACTTTTTTCGCTGAGCTGCGGCAACAACTTGAAAAATTGCGTTAAATTTGTTGAATTTGTATTTGTATTTATTTCTTGGTGATTTTTGAAGAATTTTCGTTTGATGATTTTTATTTGGTTGTTGTGTGTTTTCTCGATTGTTGTTGGTTGTTGTCGGTTTGTTGTTGCTTCTTCCGCGAGCTGCGTACGTGCGCGACAACGTGCGGATCTGTTATGATTCAATACGTTTTCGATACGTTACGTTGAACGTCGCCGGACCACGCGGCAGGCGGCGACGTCAACAGCGGCAGCGCGACAGGCTCACACAGCAACACACACACACAGGCACACAGGCACACATGCACACAAAGAGACGCAGCGACGCGCAGAATGCAAAAAGCACAAAAAAAAAGAATAGCAACAGAAAAGAAACGAGCAAGAAGCAGCCGCAGCCGCAGCAGCAGCAGCAGCAGCAACGATTCTAAACGCGCGCTGCGCTGCGCTGGCTGAGCGCTCAAAAGTTGAGCGCAGCTCAGAGCTTGGCAGCGACGCACCGCTGCAATCGGCAAAGCCGACGTCGCTGCAGGCAGCGGGCAGCGGGCAGCGACAGCAGCCCCCCAAAAAGTGGCCACCCACACAAACACAAGCGCAGTAGCCCCAAAGAGCGTGACACACGCGAAACACACACACACACACACACACACACACACACACACACACACACAGGCACACAGGCCAACAGCGAAACAGACACATGCACATGCACACACACAGACAGGCTGCCAGGCAGACGGACAGCGGCAGAGGCAGCGGCAGAGACGCGCGCTCACGCTCTCAATGTCCATGTGTGCGTGCAAGTGTGTGTGTGTGTGTGTGTGTGCGTGTGCTCGCGCCTGTGAGCCAATCAACGGCAAATGAGTCGCAGGCGCAACACACAAATAATTATTAGTTATTATGTTTATTTACATAATATTTAAAAAACAGCAAGATATTAGAAAAGAAGAAGAGAGAGCGCGACAAATGCGAAGTAAGAG